AAGTTACTGACTTTGGCTGATGTCAAAAACTTATCATTTCGGTGATTTTTCAAGTGTCTCAATTTATAGAAACAGCCCTAACAATTTCATATGTATAAACATGTGTTATGCGTTATTAATCGACACATGTCATTTTTCAATTCGTCAACAATTTGTCTCGTACTATTCTGAACGTTATCAGTTCCTTTTGTTATATAGACCTTAGCAATAACTTGTCTCACACTATTTTGAACATTATCAATTCCTTTTGGCATATCAACATTAGCAACAACTTGTCTCACACTATTTTGGACATTGTCAAATCCTTTTGGTATATCAACATTAGCAACAAATTGTCTCACAATATTTTGAACATCGTCAATTACTTTTGGTATATTAACATTAGTGACAACTTGTTTCACACTATTTTGAACGTCATCATTAGCAACGACTTGTCTCAAACTATTTTGAACATCGCCAATCGAATTTCGAACGTTGTCAATTACTTGATTGTTAGAAACAAATTGTTCTACATTATTTTGAACATCACTGATTGAATTTCGAACATCATCAATTACTTTTGGTAAGTCTAATGTTGGTTGATTGTTAGCAATAAATTGACCCACATTATTTGTAAAATTTTGAATGTTGTTAAAAAATGACATTTTTTTTTACAACGAAAGAGAAGCTGGTAATTAAATACTGAACATGTATGATTAGATTCGTAAGTTATTTGTTACGGGCATTGTTCCTTTTTTTGGAGCATTGGCGCAGTGATGTGCAACATAGTGAACTTCTATTTACGTACGGCTGAACATTTATCGTTATCATTTATCGTTATAGTCATTGTTCCCTTTTTTGGAAAATTGGTGCACACAGTGATGTACAACATAGTGAACTTTAGACTTGAAACCAAGATCATGTGGAAGCTTCGCCGTCGAAATTTAGCGTTATGAACGTAATAATATTACGGGTTTGTTTAACGATATTTAAGGCTTTATTGAGCTGTATATATATTGTAGAATATATGATTTCGATGAAAATAAGTATTTAGCCCATTTCTTTGTTAATATCTTTATTTACTGTAAAAGTGGCATAGACTTTCGCATAATCGTTTAAATTATTTTTGAAACAAGGACACTTTTGAACAAAATATTCTCGAGTGGTTAACTTATTCATGTGTTATAGCATTTCAATATAGATTAAGTTGGAATTCTATACATGAAGCTTTCTAAGATTAATTAAGATACTTCTTAAAAGCTTTCAAATAATATTTCTGAACAAGAATTGTGTAATTATGCGTCGTTAAATATCTTATATTACAAATATATATTGTATAATACTTATCAGTTCAACTCCTACGCGTACTTTAGCTTTATTTCTTTGTTTAATATCCTTACTTAATTTAAAAGCAGCACAAACTTTTTGTGTAATCACTTAAATGATTCCTGAAACAAGGACAATTTTGAACAGAAATTCTTGCACATTTTGAGTGGTTAATTTTATCGCATAGCATACTCTATCTAGGGTATGGGATGGACCGGGACGGGTCGGGTTTATTCAAACCCGACCCAGGCCCGTTTAAACCCGACCTGAGCCCGAGTCAGATAAAAAATTTTATAACGGGTCGGGCCTAGGTCGGGTCGGGTTACAGCTATTATCATAATTTCTGGGACACCTACTCATTACCCGAAATCTTTTTGGTCGTTCGGTAAATTACCTAAC